GTCTTATAATTAGGACCAAATAAAAAGTCAAATTGGGTCTTATAATAAGGACCGGAGGAGTATTATATATCAATATGAATATTAATGGGTCACGGCTTTTGCCTCGATGCCTATATAAGCATAGCCGTTCAATTCTTTTTCATCAAATTCCTAAAGTGATTGATAATCTAAGCCATCGGTTCTTTCGTTCATTAATTTCAAAATGGGGATCCAAAGCGTTGAAGCCTATGGTGGAGCCACCAAGTCTTCAATGCTCAATTGCATCGACCTCTCTGATCCTGACATCGACAAATCTGTTAATTTGCTCAAACAGGTTAGCCTTCTCTGTTTCGCTCCTTCTTGTTGCTTCTTGGAGAATTTCGGTGTGTTGGTGTTTAATTATATATGTGTGATCATTTAGGCATGCTTGGATTCTGGGTTTTTCTACGTTGTGAACCACGGGATCAGCCAGGATTTCATGGACGAGGTTTTTGCCCAGAGCAGGAAATTTTTCGGTCTTCCGCTGAAGGAGAAAATTAAACTTCTTAGGAATGAAAAACAGAGGGGATATACTCCTGTTCTCGATGAACTACTTGATCCTGAGAACCAAGTACATGGTAAATATATTCTTTTGTTGTTCCTTCCATGCATGTCTTTACATACAGCACTATGTTGTCTTCTGGTCGTCTTCTTCCTCATTATTTTAGTATTTTTTTGGGTTAAGTAGGTGATTACAAAGAAGGATATTACATTGGAGTTGAAGTATCCGAGGATGACCCAGAATCACAGAAACCATTTTATGGACCAAACCAATGGCCTGCGTCTGGTAACTATCTCAAATTTGTAGTTTCTGAGAATTTTTCAGAAGAAAACATCATTTTTACTTCCCTCTGGCGATAACTCATTCACATTTCTTTGTCAACTTTGTTGTCTTTTAGATATTCTGCCTGGATGGAGAGAAACAATGGAAAAATATCATCGACAGGCATTGTAAGTGTTAAGGAACTTGTTAATAATAAGTAATACCTTCAAAGTAATACGGAGACCATGGATTCACAAAAGTTTTTTCATTTGTTGTTTCTTTTACTGTACCTTTAACCATCGGGTATTCAGAGAAGTGGGAAGAGCAGTTGGAAGAATAATAGCCCTTGCCCTTGATTTGGGTGCTGATTTCTTTGATAAGCCAGACATGTTAGGAGAGCCGATAGCGACTTTACGCCTGCTACACTATGAAGGTATCAATATCAATATTTCAATATACTTATAAAGATGAAACGACCCTATTCATAAGCTATGAACAATGAAACTTATCTTGAGTAAATATTAGTAGTGCCTTATGCCTGATATAATTACAAAATGAAAATGATCCTGACACGAGTTGATCGTTCTTTGGTTAAGGACAAACCTCAAATCCCTCCCGAGGATTATATGGAGCTGGAGCTCATACTGACTATGGTCTAATTACTCTGTTGGCAACAGATGATGTACCAGGTCTTCAAGTAAGGATCTCTCTCTCTAAGCCAGACATTTTACCTTATTACAGAACATTTATATATTTTCTTTATGCAGATATGCAAAGATAGGGATGCTAAACCTCAGATATGGGAGGACGTGGCACCCTTGAAGGGGTGAGTTCTCATTGTAGTTGAACGTAATTTTCTGGCTGAAAGTGAGACTGAGTTGTTACCTGCATGCTATTATTGCACAGTGTCGCATGTTTAGCTGCATACGTTTTCCTCCTTACCTTTCAAAGACACTGATTCTTCCTTTTTTGTTTTCATTACTCGAATTGAAAGAATAATTGCTTCTTGTTGTTGCCAGCGCATTTGTAGTGAATCTGGGAGACATGTTGGAGCGCTGGAGCAACTGTATTTTCAAGTAAGGAACTTTGTTACTGCAAGTTATATATCTGAACTCTACCTAAGTCGGATATACTTCCGAACTTGAAACTGAAGGGACTTTCAAGATTGCCCCGAAACTTTCATCGCTAAACGTTTCTATGAAAGTTTGATATGTGTGATTATGGTGCAATTCATTTTTCAAGCTCTAATTTTTACAATGAATTTATTTATTTTTGTTCTGTGGTGCTAGCTTGAGTTGGCCTGAGTACGTTTTTTTCAATCTAGGTACAAAGGACACATGACAGTACTGAAGCATTCTGGACTATTAGCATGCATGGGATCTTATTTTATTGTCTGAGTGATAATATTTGGTGGTCATTGTTAAAAGCCGCTCTTAATCCCATGAAAATTTCTGCAGTTAGATTGTTGATCTAGCTCTATATGAATCAACAGAGATCGCATGTACATATAATCATTTTCATTTCTACAAGGACTCCCCTAAAAGTTTTGACTATACTAATGCCATGTCATGTGTCTTCCTTTAATTGCTGGGACGAAAAAAATATAAGTTTCATTGAGAGCAATTGTACATGTCATTATGAGTGTCTTCCGTTCTGTACATATTGGAATGGAGATGTTAGACTAAATGTATTGATAGATAAAATTAAAGATCACAATGCTATATGTGATTTGGCCTTCGTCTATCTGATATATATCACTGCTGTTGCTAACTATTGCTATAGGCTCTTATCAGTAGCATCCTTTTACATCGAACTTTGTTCAATGCAAAATCAACATTTTGCTTTGTATTTCTGCTCAGGTCCACATTGCACAGAGTTCTAGGAAATGGTCAAGAAAGACACTCTGTAAGCTCAGTCTTTTTAATTTTAAGTTTCAGCTTAGTTTTTCCTCCCGTTCTGATGTTTAACTTTATTACATACTAAGCTAAGGCTGTACATGGGCAGGGCTGAGCTGGGCAGGACCCTTGCCCCCTGAACTTACTAGGGCTTTTCATGGGCAGGACCGGGCAATGGGCTGCATTTTCGAGCCCGTTCATTTTTCGGGCTGGGCTGGGCAGGACCCTTGCCCGATGCCCAGCCCGAAAAATGAACGGGCTTGAAAATGCAGCCCATTGCCCGGCCCTGCCCATGAAAAGCCCTAGTAAGTTCAGGCTGGGCTGGGCGGGCTTCCATGCCCAGCAAATCAATATACTATATTACTTAACTAGTTATTTATGTTCCTCTAGATAATCTAATGTAACTTTATATTAAAATGGCAACTTGACCTTAATTTAGTTATTTCTAATTAATATATTATGAAACAACATTTTATAGTAGCTAAGAGGAGTAAATTATGACAAACAAAAATGTTGTTAGTATACTTTATTAAACTTAATTGCTTTTCTAGTTTCTAAAATTTCTCAACCAAATGTAAATATTTTTTCCCATAACTCCCAAATACTCATAAGAGCATGGATCAATTATATAAATTGCTAATGGTCATAATGTTTGTACTAAAAAAGAAGATGGTTATACAAATTGCAGTAAATGATAACACATTTACTCTCAAAATCATTTGAAAATAAATAAGTATAATGAATATTGAATATTGATGCAACAATGTGTTTGATTCAGGAGATAAATATGAGACAAATAAAATATATATAAATAAAATTATATATATTTTTGCGGGCAGGGCCAAATAGGCAGGGCAGCATACTGTGCTCGATGCCCAGCCCTGCCCGACAATTTGCCCAGCCCGAACATGTCCAATATATCTTTTGGGCCATTTTTTTTAGGACAGGTTGGGCATTTTCTTGCGGGCTTGGGCGGGCATAGCGGGCCACTAGGCTCCATGAACACCCCTATACTAAGCTATACAATAGTTTTACATATCACTGCTATTGGCTGGTCAAACAATATATATATATATATATATATATAAATATATCAATCCTCTATCGTGACTTTTCCATTCAAAGTAGTAAACTCGTTCCCCATGCAATGAACTTCTGTTCATTAAGGAATGATGTGTACATCACTTTCTTAACTGTACATATTTATTGTCAAATGTATCATGTGTAATGTCTTACTTAAAAAATAAAAATTAAATAATTAAAGTAACAAATATATTTAATACAAATTATTATGGTAATTTTTTTATCTGTTCAAACAAATAATTAAGGCTAAAAATAATAAATATTTTCACATCTGGAGTATTATCTCCGTTATTTTTTGCTTCAATTCCTGATCAGCAATTAATGACCTTACTCTGGGAATTTCTGGTTTCCTTGGTTATGCTTCCTTTTCCTCTTATCTGATTTGTTACAGAGGCCTGTAAAGAAAAGCATGTAACTTTCTCATCTCACTTTTTGTTTTCTCTTGACAGATAGCTTACTTTTTGGAGCCTAGTCATGACTGTCTAGTAGAATGCTTGCCAACTTGCAAATCAGAAAGTAACCCTCCCAAGTAAGTTAAAATTTCTACCGAGTTTACCAGCATATTCTATGCCAGTAAGTTTATATGATAGCTAGATTCAAGCTTTCACAATGAGGGACTCGTTTTTGGACATGTAAATAATAAGGTAGGCAATTTATTTATATCGTAGAACATATGAACCAAGTACATAGAGAAGGAAACTCAAATATGCATGGGCAAATTGGCAACAGAAGACAGACAAAATCGAAATACCATAAAGGGTTTCTCCCAAGCAAAAGGAAAACAAAACTAATACAAAATGGAGAGCTAAAATGAACTCTATCAGTGGTCCCTTCCAGTCTCACAAAACTGCACATATATTTCTTGCCAGGTTCCCTCCCATTTTATGCCAGGATTACCTGTGCCAGCGCTACAAGGACACTCATGCTGATTTAAGCTCATACAAGAAACAGTAAGCTTTACGTACTAGCATGCTTGGCCTTTATGGTAAACTGGAAAGAAGTATTACCTTGCAGTTCGAAAGTTCAAATGCTAGTGGTCACAAGCAGACGAATCAGTAAGCTTGTGTTGTCATTTGAAGCCTTGCAGGCTGGAGAATTGTCTAAAGGAAATTGGCTGTTCACTGATTTTCTCCCAGCAACAAGGTTTCTTTGTACTAGGAGCATTAGCATTTTACCCTAGGCATCAAATTTAGCTCATTAGCTTCAGCACAAGGGGTAAATTAGGCTTTATCTTTTAAGTTTGGTGCGAAATGCTTAGGGATCGGATAGTAAAATCCATGATCTGTACCTAGATAAAAGAAAAATAATCTGATCATCTTTGATATTATCATTCATTATACGATATGAATTTTCACTCTGCATTTAGCATAAAATTTCACGCTGTAGTCAATTATTTTTCAGATACCATATCGTGTTACTACTTACTCCCCACTTCTCGATCTCCCAATTGTATCGTGTATTTTACTCTTTCAATGGAGCATAGTTACACATAATGTCCACATAAACAGACAGCTGCCAAATGTCTACCTCGATAGATTTGAAATTACCTTGGTTGCCCTTGAGAACATTTGCCCTGTTCGCCTTCTAATGAAAAATAAGTTGTCAGTAATAACTTTTATGATTAAACAGCTGGTTTCTGGTTATTTAGTCTAGATCATACTTTAGTTAATGCTAAAACAAAAGGTTCTTCAGAAAGAGGGAGGACATAACAAGTTTATATACATTATAGTAACAAGTCGTTAACTCGACAAGGTCCCACAAAAAAGATAGGGTGGAAGTGAGCTAGGATACAAAATGTTAATTCAGATATGAATGCGAGGAGTCCTTTGCTACCCACAGATCTCTCGCCACACAGTTGGGAGATCTTGTTTAGAGGCATAAAAGTCTAGGAGAATCGAACCCGCAACCTTCCATGCAAAGCAACACTTATTTACTGAATTTTCACTCTTGGCATAGTCATAAGTAACGTGATACACCGCCAAAGCCTCATTTTTAAGTAGCTTCCTACTCTTTGGACTATCATCCAGCTCAGAAGCACCATATAGTATCTGCATGCCACAACGCAGTCAGCAAAGGAAGAAAATATCGGATTTTCTGAGAAAATGTAGTGCAAAACCATTGAAACATATACCTCTTTATATTTCCTGTAGATGTCATCAGCAGCCATGTGTTTGGCTGTCGGGTCAGAACATTTTAGCGCAGCAGCCATTTCGCTCCTATACTGGTCATAGTATGATCTCCACATATTCAGGTAGTTCTCAGGTACTTCGACATCAAAACAGGGGAGCTTTGTAACAATATCTGGTAGCATGCACAGAACAACAGGTGTAATAAATACACAGTACATTACGTTATGAGGCAACACCAAAAACACGGGATTATTCTATTTGGAATTCTCACCCTTCTTAGATATGTCTTCATATTGATATCTGTCCACCTCATCGTATATTAAACCTAAGATAGAAGTAGAGGTGTATGAATTGTCCTTTTCCATGTAATGTGGGTACATTTCCGGCTTCAAATACTTCGGAACTTCAACCTGTTGACAAGCATTGGACAGAGGATATACAATTTAAACGCCTTCCCTTGTTTTCATAGAATTGTATGGAAAATGGAATGAAAAAACGAACGAAATTCTGAAGTATCATTTGTGCCATTAGATAAAATATAATAAAATGATATACTACACCCGTTCCCTAATAAAAAAGTAGCATAGCAGGCAATATAGCGATGAAATTTTGAGGCAAAGAATATGGTAAGGAAAATAACACAGAACTAACCTTCTTTCCTCCTTTCTTTGGTGCGTCCAAAGCATAGTAATAAAGATCAATCAATTTAATCATCTTTTCCTTCACACATTCTTTCTCCTGCTTCTCTTTTGGGCAGTCATCCCTCACCCTCAATGTCAGCAGCCGATCCATAAGGGCAGTCCAACTCTCAGCTGCAATACCCACAGCATAACTAAAAAAGACAGCCAATTAGTATCTTAAGCCAATTAACTTCCGCAACCCAAAAAAAGGGCAGAATATTACATTATTCCAACACTAGATAATGAAATCTCCGATTCTCATCCGAATTCGAATATCAAGTACTTAAGACCAGCAATAATGAAATAATTGTAAGCAAAACAGATTCCATACGTAAAAAATAGTGCCTCCATAGTTTGAGAACCAGCAGTGAAATGGAAGATTCAAAGGACATTGAAGGATGGAATAATGTCAAAAAATGGAAGTTGCCATTGCTTAAGTGATGAAGACACAAAACACTAGCCAGGGCTGCTCGTAAGTTCCATTTCATTCAATTTTGGATACGAAGATTTTAGTAGAAATATTTAGACACCATCATACCTGGGTTGAAACCGACATCCCAAGAACAATTTGAAAAGTTCATGCTGCAGTTCATCATCTGAAAGTGCACTTGGCCTTTTAGAATCAACGACATCATTGCAAGGAGGATTTTCAATCCATGGGTCACTCTTTTTGAAATACTCCAACAACTGAAACATTCAAAATATAAATATCGTCAATATAAAGAAAGTTGTTTTTAAGTACTACCAGCCTCCTCAGCAAAATGATGATGATGATGATGATACATAAATTACTACCCATTAAAGCCCAGAAAGAAGAGCATAAATTCCGATTTCTCAACCCCAGATTTGTGAACATTTGAGAAAAGACCTACGATATAAGTTAATCAAGTTGTACAGAAATCTAACATTCTGGTAAACTTCTATACATTTATAAGCTTTGAGGAATTCCAATTTAAAACATTATAATCAATATCACAAAAGAGAAGAAGCTACAGGAACCACCAAAAATAGAATAATAGGAACTTTGGAAGTGAAAGATATCTATACAGGAACCAGCGCTAGGATGAAACCAAATAATGCATGGATGATGAGAAAGCATCTTTGGAATATGCAGAAATTTAAAAGCAAAGGCAAATGAGGAAAACATCTCTCACTGATGCAAACTTAGGCTTAGCCATTGTATTATTCTCAGCTGTGATAGCAGAAAACACAAACAAATTACTGGTTAAACAAACAACCTCAGTGGGAGATTGGACGGTCTAACCAGTTAACCTCAGCCTAGCTGCCTAACACACCAGAAAACTGAATACTGATTAGACATCTAATAAACAAAAGAGCAGACCTGAGGATTTTTTGATACCCAGTACATGTCACCATCAAAATCACCTCCACCTATCTCATCTGCCAAAGAGCGAGGACCAACACAAGGAAAGAATATTGCATATTTGCTATGGCCAACAAAAGATTCTAGCTCCTTCACATATGTTGCTTGGAGTATGTGAATATCTCCAAAATGTAATCCTGGATTCCGATATACCAATACATCTCCAGAAATTTGACCATTTTCACTATAAACGCAAAGGAAAAAGCACATTATTCAAGCAACAAAAATAGTTAACATTTCCTCAATAAATTAATTTCTAAATGAGCCCGGAGTTTGAATTGTATCATCAAAATTACTAAGTGTTTTATTAAAGTCATTTCCAAGGAACAAAAAACCGGACTGAACACTAAACCGATTAAGGTAATGGTTCACGGGTCAATTAGTCAGAACGGGATCAACGGGTCATATTAAAATAATATGATTTTATTGAAAAGAGCAAAATATAACAACATTAATAATCACTAACAACAAAATATAAGGAAATGTAATAATAGTTTGATTGTAACAATAACAAAGTATAACAATATTAAGAATTTTGTTCTTTATGGTTTATCATTAACTAAAATTAATAATCATTGATACCAAAATCATCATTAAAATTCACTTAAATCTATAGGGGCTGAGATATTAGGAGCTGAATGAGAAAAAATAGAACCAGTTCATTACCAGTTTTAACCAGTTTTCACCGGTTCATGCCGGTTTGACCATTCACTACCGGTTCAACTCCCCTCAGTTTAACATCCAAACCAAATCAAACCATTGGCTGGTTCACCGGTTTTCTAGTTGAACCGGCCGGTTCAGTTCGTTCTTTTGTTCTCTGTCGCTTCTTGATATGATTTAAATTCATATCTTTCTCACACGAAGACCAACATTTGGCACTAGAGTCATAATAATATAGATAAAACTATCGTACCAGAAATGAGCAAATATGCAATAGGCAAAGAATATGTGAACATGATTGGATGTGCAGGGAAAATTATAGCACAAGCTCCATACTAAACATGACATGAGCATGAAAGAACCATCCAGTGTCACATAATACCAACCAATACAATAAAAATTCAACCGAAACCAATCCCCAAATGAGGAAAGTCTCCCATGGTGACTTTTTCTATCCACAAAACTAGAACTCATAACTTGATGAAGGCACGTTAAGTGGCGTGACACTTAACCCCTCACCATTGATCCAAGCAAACAAATTTTAATAGAACAATGATACTGTCTAAAGTAAGGTTCAGAATCAGAACAAATGCTCGAGACTAAACAAAGGAACATCTATGATCAGATATATGAGCTACAAATGTATCCCATTCGCATGGTAGGGCATAAAATAAACGGGGATAGCAATAAGTTGCCACTTTTTAGCCAAGATGAAGTATGACAGACTATTCCTCTTGACCATTGCAGTTAGATGGTAGCCAGGAAAAAAATAATCACTAGAGTGTGAGGAACTAGAAAGAATGCGTCGGCTGCATTGTAAATTCAAAAAATATATACACACACATATATATATCATACGCCTCCAACCATGGGGGTTTTGCGCATAAAATGGAGCCATGTCTTCTACTGATAGAGAGATAAAGCAAGAAACAAAAGAGATGCTTACAGAATAATACAAACTTGATTCTTCTTAAGGCGTCCAGTGGGATCAGCAGTCCCCATTAAGTAGTAACAATTGGGTATATAAAGTTTCCCCCTCCTAAGACTATTCATTTCCTCCTTTGCAAGTACAGATAGACGATATTGCAAATATGGCTCATCAAGAGGGATACCATGTTGAATCATTTTTGCTGAATTGAACTCATCATCTATCTCACCATGGTTTAAAGATACTGCACAAAGAACCACATAATTGAATAAATTTTCTAAAGCAGATTTCAAAAAATCATACAAATGACAGGCCAATATTCAAATGGCAGAATTTAATTATTCTAGGAGAAATTAGATGACAAAATGAAGTATCAGCTGTAGGAATCTCTACGAGGATTACCTCTGAATGCAGCACGCTTGTCAGTGAAGACACAATATGCATTTTCCATAGCACTCTTAAGTAAATCCAGAAAAAACTCATTTGGCACTCCTCCATAGCTTAGAAGAGCAATCAGGGTTCGGGATAAATAACACCTCTGTGGTTTGTTGCTGAAAGATGAAGGCTTAAGATTAGATAACTGTTGCTTTAAAAGTAGAGAATTTTCTTTTCTAAAAACCCTAGAGCATTAGCTTAACACAATAGTTTAAGCACAACTCCTAGTAGTTTAAAACTTATGATTAGTTAGTCATAAGCATATTAAAATGTCTTTTTGCCTCCTTTTCTATCACAGAACTATAAACCTTAACATATAAAAGAATGGATAACAAGAAGGTTAAACAATCCTGCAATAGCTAAAAACATGCAAGCATACGAGTGCCTTTTGAGCCCACTCAGGATGAAAAGTCGGGGAACTCCTGAGCCCATTCCAGATTTTGACATTAGTCATAATTTATTGGTTCTTTCTGAGCCCACTCATTGAAAAATTAAACTATCATATAACAAAAAGTATGATCAATATCCAAACCCCCCATAGCTGCTTCAGGCAACAAAGTTTCAGAAATAGCAAACAATAGCCAACTTGATAGGAAAAAGATATGTAAAGGAGATACCTTGTAGCTACCACCTCCATTGAATTAACGCTTTGAATCGAAAGATTTGGATCTGTATGCGCCTTAATCATTGATTGTCGAACTTGTATCGTCCGAGGAGGAAGCTGCATGATTTAAGAATGAAAGAACTTTACTGCCAGCAGAACAACTGATACATATCTAAATTCACATAAATCTGATATGCATTTAATTGTAACAGCTCAGTTCCCCCAAAAAAAAAAAAAAAAGAGTAACAGCTCAAACAACTTCAATCTGGTAAAGATGTTGAACCTAGACATCATCTAGGAAAATGAAAATGGATAACCTAAATTCTTCCACCTTTTCTATATATCAAAACATTCTCCTGATGGCTGCTAGATAATACTCATATCTTTACTCTACCTCACCTATTTCACTGCAACCCAACAGAATACCTGGCTCCATAAACCAACCAATAACAACCAATAATATGAGAAATTAATATCTTACAAGATAGACCAATTCACCAGCAAGACATGGAAGTTTACTCACAAAGGTAGTAAACTCCATAGCTAAAAAACCACAACAGTACTCCAATCTACTTCAAATTTGTTTGTGCAAGTGAGAGGGGGGGGGACTCCAACTAAACACATTTGTTCAAGAATTAACCCAAAATATCAGTCATTATATCTGCAAGAATGCATTTACAAATAAACTGACATCATCAAACTCTTTTGAGAAATCCTCCACCTAATAAAACATGGAGTGGATGACAGCTAAATCGTCCAAAATTTATTATTTGAATAAAAGAAAATTACAAGTAGGAACAATCTTATGAGCCATGAATTCATCAAAACAGGAATTAAAACTCGGAGTTTATTTGCATACTCCAAAATGCAGATTGCCATATACTACAATTAAGACGATCATACTTCCACACAAAAATTAAGAAGAAGAAGAAGAAATGACTCAATGAGTTAGTACCTTTTTGTTGATTAAAAGCGTTCCCTTCATGGCACATCCCATGTGAAAGAGACGGCATTGGATCAGCAAAGGCTTAGTCAAGGAAAGAAAAACTATCAGAATAAAATCCATGCGACGCACATCTGCAGTCTCAAAATTTACAGAAAAGTAAGGAACGCACTGGCTCACATGTGCTGGACTCCATCTTTGTAGAAGCCATAGTTGTCTTACCCTATCCAACCGAATTAGAAATTCACTATCATTTAAGTCTTGGTGAGGAAAAGATTTCTATGAAAGACAAAATTTAAAAAACTAAAGAGAGAGCAGACAACGAAAAAGTAGCAGTAAGTGTTTATTGCAGCACCGAGGCTCCATGAATAGAAGATCTGAACTTCCAACACTCGAAAAAATTAAGTATCGAAGTAGAAAATAGTTTTGTGAAACAGCACTTCCAATGGAGATTTTAAATAGGGATGCTATCTAAAATTATGAGGCATTCAACCATATAGCAGTTGCTTATTCCATTGAAAATGAAAATAATAATGAATGCCCGAAGATGACCAACATAATATACATTCACCAAACAAGAAATAAAGTTGGGGGGAAAGAACCAAACAAGAAGTAAAGGGAAAAATAGAACAAAAAGACATGCATCTAACAAGACACCGTGATATTATCACATAATCCATTAGTCTTGCACACAATACATATTAATTTCTGATAAAGCCTGCAGTTCAAATCATCTCAGATAACATCGTCTGCCCAAACTTAAGATCGTTGTGGGTGTGTGTTTTTTTTAAAAAAAAAAAGCTGGAAGAATACTACTCTCTTTCAGACCATAACATTGTAGGATGTTGAGACATGAATGACTCGTCATATCAACATAGTCATACAAGCTTTACAATCATTTTCCATCAGCCTCGTGTCTGACCAAAATTTTAAGAAAATGGCATAAATAAAATAGGAGTTAAGGTGCATCTAACACCCCAAAATATCAGGTGTCCAAGTACATCTAACATCATGAAGTTTTTTTTTTTTTTAAAGGTACGTCTAATACTCTAAAATATCTTTTAGTGCATCTAACACCAAAGCAAAAAAAAAAAAAAAACTTTAAAGTGTTGGACATGCCTAAAAATTAGTTTAAAGTGCTAGATGCATCACAAGTTACTTTAGAGTGCTGTATACATCTAACAAAATACTTCAAGGTGCATCTAGCACCTTAACCCATAAAATAGCATATATACTATATAGTTATATTTAAGTTTTATCCTTCGAGAAGTATATTTACTATTATTTAATACACATATCAACAGAATGATGATTAGAAAAAGAAGAGAACCTCGATGAATAAGCTATAGCGAGTTTATGCCATGTAGTGACATGGTACATTCCTACAAGTTAGTTGCTCTACATCACAAAACGACAAGAAGGCACATGGGTAAAAACGATAAAAATAGGAGCATATTGTTATAAACCCTTGATGGATATTTGATACAAAATAGTGAAATAGAATAATGTGAGCAAATAAAGTATGCAAATTTACGTATTAAAACAAAGAGATACCATGAAATTTTTAGCCTTCGTATTAAACACGTGTCTAGGGCAAAGCATAGCTAAATCCTCAGAAATAAACCCGGTTCCATCAGTATGTATCTGTGCTTTCCCATTGTGAGAAACTTCACCATTTTCATCCTAAAAAGAAATGAAAACAAAAGAGAAATAATTTTCTCGTATACAAAAGGGGCAAAAAGTCCTTATAGAGACGAAAAAATAATTGATCATACCTGACAACATACATCTCCAATTTCTTGAACATCAACAGATCCCATGTCAATATCAAGTGTCAAGGTTTTGGACAAGATTAGAGAAAACCTAAGTACTTGACGTCAGTAACTTCGATCAACTGTTCCTTGTGCAGGATGGGAAAGAACATAAGATATAATTTTAAAAACAGTATGGACAGAGTACCATACCTGGCCATAAACTTGTCCAACGTAGGCAATGTATGAGCATGCATAAATAAAGATCGAGCTTCAAATATTGACTTCCCCCGTAATATGTATGATTCCCTCTCATCAACTGATGCACAAGATTTTGTCCTAACAAAATAACATCTCACACCTGAAGACGTTTGGTCCTTCTTTTTCTCTTCCTTTCTTCCATCTTTGAAAACTGATCAGTTGATAAGAAGTTTATGCTCATCAGTGCATGTATATTGGTTTCCCATAGGTTTGTCTAAAAACTCTAAAGGCAGCATCAGATGCATATTAATTGTCAAAGATTCAAGAACGACTTGTGCATAACAGCAACAAAGAATGAGATGTAAGCAATGCATAAAAAGATTTAAAAACCAAGGGGAAAAAAATCAGGCATCCAAATACACAGATACCGCGAATTTCCATTATTGAGGCAACATTCCACCATAGGGGCACAAAGCAACTACATTCACTTTAGTAATCCAGGGGAACAAATAGTTCAATGAGTGCAGGAATAGAGACATATCAACAATTTGACAAAAACAAAAACAAGCAATCAGGCATATAGATACTGTCAAGAAGGATCAACAAGTGCAAGCATAAAATTTCAAGGACATAGCATTTCATAAGAAAAGGTTCACAGATTACCAAAAAAGTGGTAAAGGCGAAGACCAACATGGATTCCCTCTCTTCCAAATTTACTGTATAGAGCATATGCTTCCTCAAAACTAGTCCGATTCGGCTTGTATCCATGCCTTTCCTCAGCAAATTTTACAAGTAGAACATTGTCATCACCTAGTGATTTTTGTAAGTGTGTTCGTACTTCTTGGAAGAAGGGGCCCTGAATTACCAGACAAAGGGATTGGAAATTAATATATTAATTAATAATCAATAGTTCATATATTACCAGCCAAAGGGATTGGAAATTAATATATTAATTAATAATTAATAGTTAATACTATATTTTATAAATAGCCCATATGCCATTGAATTATCACCAAATGTAAACTGGTCTGGGGATGTAGTTATTTTATTAGTGGACAAGGTATCACAAAGAACTTCCATAGTACACATGGAAGTATGTATAGAAATTAAGGATCTGCATCTACAACAGCATGTATAAGTGCATATATGTTCTCTAGAGCTTGTTAAAAGTTAAAAGTTAATGAAAATATAATAGAGGCAAACCTTGAACCTTAAACTCCCATCTGGAGAAATATGACACTCATAGACAAAAGGCTTCCCTGAATCCCAATCATGATACTGCAGAAACCAAAGTTATCAATAGCAAACAATCAAATATTTTTAAGAATAATACAGCAGATGTTGGATAAAGAAGTTCCAAATCGCTAGAGTTGATGGCTTAACAGGATAGTTAAGAACTGCAATAAACTCATTTACATGACAAATCCAACAAATTTAGCCTTTTTTTAAGGTGCAGTTGAATGGTAAAATAAAATATAAAATAATAACAGCATGGTACAACAAATTGGTAAAATAAAATATAAAATAATAACAGCATGGTGCAACAAATTAAATCCTCCAGGTTTTCAATGCACCAGAAAAATTTTATGGATGTCATAACTGTTGAATATTCAATTCAAATTCCCAGGAAAAAAAAATGTCGATGGAAGATGTCATTTTTAATCGCTCAGCGCATAATTGGAATAGTTTTGTCAGAGCTAACCATTCCCTTATTTTAAGGACAAGTTCCGACTTGAGATCAAGAGGAAGCAAAGTACTCCCTCCGTTCTTTATTATAAGAGACATTTGGTGCTTATGGCATGTTCCTATATATAAGAGACACTTAAAAGTTGTCTCTACTTTTTTGTGTTGATTTCCTATTTTACCCATATTTATTGTCTCCAACTCACACTTTCTCTCCTTTCCACTTCTCTGTCTTTTAATAAATTACCATTGTTCTCTCTCATGTTCTCTCTCCTTATTAATGAGGGCATTTTTGGAAAAAAAATTATACTTTTTACATATTAATTGTTCTTAACTAATTTTAACTATTTTTTTTATCAACGTAATTCGGTTATTCGTCTCTTATAATAAGGAACGGAGGGAGTAATAAATCAACGCACTAATTTCATACGCATAAAAAGCAAAAGGAATGTTCAGCCAAAAAAAAAAAAACAAACAAACAAACGGGATGTTCACCAGTCGTCGATCGTGGTGATCGGAGACAAATTTTTTTCCCACGGCTTCCCATATTTCTTCCTCAAACTTCCCCATCGGCAACGGTTTAAGACTCCTAATCTTGTCCGCCGTTATAGCCCGTTCAAGACTCTCTCTACAAAAACAAATGCAAAAAGCAAACTTTAAACCTTAAAGCATCACTGACTCAGAAGTAACTCTGGAAAGAGAAACAAGTAAAATAAAAAACATTCCACACTCACCCTCCAATGTAGCTCAAAAGTAGAAATGCCTTTCTGAATTCCAATTCTCCCAGGGCCACTAATTCTGGACTCGTTGGTAATTCTGCTTCTCCCTGTGCTCTTGAAGGCGAGGCAGTTCCGGGATCCTCTTCCATGGGAGAGGGAGTTGCAGCTCCGCTAACTGTAACTTCAAAATTTTCAAGAATAAAGGAAAGAGATGGCAAAGCTAGTCAATAGTACGACATACACTGACAAGTCATGCCCACTCCTTAACCCGAGCAACTGACACAGTAAAGAGAATCTCAACACATTGAAACCAAACCCACTTCCATCACATCATTTGCCCTGGGGAAAATTGTATACATTGCCTTTTTAAAGACTTTTAATTAATATGTATAACTTTTATTATTATTATTAAAAGAGTTAAATTAGAAAAAAATGTATAAATATAAATTAAAATTTTATATTTAAAATTAAAATAAAAATTAAATAAGTCTTGTTCTAAGCACAGTTACTGTATTGAGCACAGTTACTGTATTGAGGACAGGAGGTAGTATAAAGTAAAAGGGTGTTTAGCAATATGAAAATTATGGTTTCAGAAACACTTTTTTATAAAACGAGGTAAACTCCTTCATATATTTACTTTGTAAACTGTAAAAACACTTCTGAAACTATAGTTTGACTTCTATCCAAACATTCCTTAAATCAAAAAAAAAGAAAGGAATCCGGAGTCGGAATCGTCACTGTTCACCCACATTAACAAAGGAAATGGCCGGCCTTGTTATCTGAGAGACGTTTCCTTTTCCCCGACGAGAGCAATTTTGGTTCGAGCTAACTAAATGAAAGAGAACACGAAACAGTAAGTAAATAGATGTACTCCTTCTACCTTGGGTGTCCATGATTCGCGTAGCAGAGCCTCTGGTTGCGTTCGGTGAGCGCCTAGGGGCTTTCTTCGGAGAATTAATCATGTGCACAATGAACCCAGAGAGACTTTTCCGAACTCTGGAGTGTGAGATTAGTGTCAAAATATCAAGAGCCGATTCTTCTCCGATGTTCGCGAGCTGGCGCCTTACATGGGAGTCAGGAAGGGGCTGATTCTGATCTTTGCAGATACTTTCCAAGAGACGCTCTACTGAGTCAGGAAGAGGGACATTCTCAGCGAGATTTGTCATCGAAAGCAGCCCAAAGCTTGAATAGTTGAATGGTTGAATGGAAGAGAGACAAGACGACGAAGGATGGTTGAAGCTCCACAGCGCTGACAGAAGATGAAATGATTACCACTGCACAAGAGAAACCAAAGAGGCAATCACGTTTCCCGCTCGCCAGTGAGGCCAGTAAGAGTGTGTCTGTGTACGTATATATTTTTATATAAATATATATATGTTCATGCACAATACAAACCAAAGTGACTTTTTTTGAATAAAGTGCCGTTGGGAAAATAAAATTTGTGAGGAGTCTAATCACCATCAGTACCCTTTTGTTGCCTTCGTGAGTAAGGAGACCCCGGTGGCACCGGCTGAGCAATACTACCTTCTCTCATGTTTAATAAAAAATTCTGTTTAGTTTTTATTTTAATTTTAAATATAAGAGTTTAATGTATTTTGTCTCTCATATTTATTTATTTTTTTTCAATATAGTCCTTTAATAATGATAGTTCTAGATAACAAATTTGATTAGTAAAGATATTTTAGAAAAAACAACATATATTCATTACAAATAACTAACTTAACTAAATTCGTTAATCTCTTCAAATTAATTAACCGGGTCTTATAATTAAGACCGGAAGTAGTAGGAACTAGCAAGCACACCTACGTTTACCTTTTGAAAAATTTATCTAGCCGTACGTGCTTATAATTTTATGTCATTTAGAATTAGCTTAGATTTTTTCACCAAAAACAAAAAAGAATTAGCTTAGATTTTTATAATGTTTTTCTTTTTACTGGGTATTTTTAATTTCCTTAGTTATAAACGTTAGTGCTTATTTTCGCATACAATCTGTTAATTATGACTTCCGTAAATGAGGTTTTTCTTTAAAAAAAATGAAATAATAAAATAAAATTTATATATGGTCATCGCAATAAGAAGTTAATATGCTCGTAATTGTCTCCTTGCATCTTTGTATAATTTGCAGTATGGTTGATTTTGATTTTATTTAAAAGAGTGTTTGGATAGAAACAAAATTATAATTTTAAAAATATTTTTACAATATACTAAGTAAATATGTGAAGAAATTTATTTCATTTTATAAAAAAAGTGCTTTTTCAAAGTTTTTTTTTTTAATTCAAAACAACCCCCTAAATCTATGTAACAAAATTAATATTACCTCCAGTCTTAATTATAAGAGCTAATTAGCTAATTTGAAGAGATTAAGGAAAGAAGTTAAGTTAGTTATTTGTCATAAATATGTATTGTCTTTCCTAAAATATCCTTACTAATCAAGTATATTGGCTAGAATTACTATTGTTAGAAAAACTATCTTGAAAAAAATGTATAAATATTAGAGACAAGGTGAATTAGAATTTTATATTTAGAATTAAAATAAAAATTAAATAAAATCTTATATTAAAAATCAAAAGTAGTACAAGGGTATGAGTGTATGCAAAATAAGAGTCACGCTTTCTCACCGAAAAATTGAAAATAAGAGTCATACATAAGTTACTATGTATTTGCTAACGTCATTTTTCTATAACAAACGCAGGACTAATGGCTATAGTTAAGAAAATTGTACGACCTGCCAATAAAAGTAAAAGACCTCGTTAAAATCATACTCATACTCTTATTTATAAGTTATTTTTAATATATTTTAAATAAATTAAGAAAAATTTTAAATTTTATTAATTCTAGTTTAAATTCAATAAATTTTGAATTTTATCACTATCTAATATTAGATTATGTCTCATGAAAATAAAATCAATATAATAATAAATTAAGAGTAAAATTACATATTCATGTAAAAAATTTCTCTATTTCTCTTTCTCCCATCAGAGGAGTACTACTCTATCTTATATACAAGTCACTTGGAAAAATAAAATAAAATTTGTTCCTAAAAATAAATTATTTGTAAAGTAATTAATGATTCTTTTTTTATTTTAAGTGAGTCAAAACAAAATTATCTTTACATACCTTAGGTAGTGATTGTTTAGGCACTAATCAGTATATCAGTACTTTTAGGGTCTATTTGGTACAAGGGAAATAGAAGGGAAGAAATGGGAGAAAAAATTTTAACAAGCTCATTCTAAAATAATTAGAAAAATGGGGTTAAATTCTTTAATTAATTTTTCTTCTTGTTTTTATCTCATATTTTTATTTTATCAAAATTTTATAACCCCACTTCTTTAATTTTTATAAAATCATTGCGGGTAGCTTTCGCTGATCTTTGGAGTGCTGGCCGTTTTGTTTTGCTTTGTTTGTTTTCCTCTTTTACTCTAATTTGCTCACTTTAAAGAATGTTTGCATAAAAATAAAATCATAATTTTAAAAATATTTTTGTGATATACAAAATAAATATATGAAAGAGTTTATTTAGATTTATGAAAAAGTACTTTGAAAAAGACTTTTAAGATTATCCAAACATCTCCTTAATCTTTTATGTAATCTTTTGTGTGATAGGCTGGCTTTTATTAAAATTATCTTTTAATTAAAAAAAGGATATCAGTACTACTATATTCTTATCTACAAATCACTTGTTAAAAAAAAAATTTGTTCCTAAAAAAAGTTATTTGTAGAGTAATTAATGATTCTTTTTTTATTTTAAGTGAGTCAAAACAAAATTATCTTTACATACCTTAGGTAGTGATTGTTTAGGCACTAATCAGTATATCAATACTAGTATTTTTAGGGTCTGTTTGGTATAAGGGAAATAGAAGGGAAGAAAGGGGAGGAAAAATTTTAACGAGCTCATTTTTAAAAAATTAGAAAAATGGGGTTAAATTTTTTTAATTAATTTTTCTTCTTCTTTTTATCTTATATTTTTATTTTATCAAAATTTTATAACCCCACTTCTTTAATTTTTATCAAATAAGTTTATTAAAAAATTTTCTTTCCTTCTTTTCTCTTCATTTCCGTCATACCAAACGGGTCCTTATTGTAACACTTGTTTTTTATTGTTAATGTATAGTATCTGGCTTCTCTCAAGGGGGAAAAAAAGGCACATCAGTTCGTGTAGCTTTCGCTGGTCTTTGGAGTGCTGACCGTTTTGTTTTGCTTTGTTTGTTTTCCTCTTTTACTCTGATTTGCTCAATTTAAAGAATGTTTGCATAGAAATAAAATCATAATTTTAAAAATATTTTTCTGATATACAAAATAAGTATATAAAGGAATTTATTTAGATTTATGAAAAAGTATTTTGAAAAAGACTTTTAAAATTACCCAAACATCTCCTTAATCTTTTATATAATCTTTTGTGCCACAGGCTGGCTTTTATTAAAATTATCTTTTAATTAAAAAAAAAAAAAAAAGAGTATATGAGTACACCTTTCGTTTCCTTCGTGGGCAAGGAGCCAGGGGCTTCAGGTCAAAAGAAAAACGGAGCCTGTGGCAGGGCAACAGCAAGTACGTACCTTTAGCTTTTTATCCGCATGTACTCATTGAAATTAAATAATAAAAAAATACTTTCTCCTGTCTGATATATGACTCTATTTTATTTTTATTTTGATCCTAAATACTATCTTCAGTTCTAATTATAAGCGCTTGTCAACTAATTTGAAGGAATTAAGAGAGTAAGTTGAGTTAGTTATTTTTTCTAAATAGGTATTGTCTTTTCTAAAATATCATTGCTAATCAAATATATTGACTAGAACTATCATTGTTAGAAGGATTACTTTGAAAAAAATATATAAATATGAGAGACAAAGTAAATTGGGACCTTATATTTAGGACCAAAATAAAAGTCAAACATGGTCTTATATTAAGGACCAGAAGTAGTATAAAATATCAATCCACTTTGTCTCTCATATTTATATATTTTTCTAAAGTAGTCCTTCTAACAATAGTAATTCTAGCCAATATACTTGATTAGCAAAGATATTTTAAAAAAGATAACACCTATTTAGGATAAATAACTAACTCAACTAATTTTTTTAATCCTTTTAAATTAGTTAATTAGTTTTTATAATTAGGGCTAGAGGTAATAAAAAAAATTACAATTAGAAATATTAAGGGAAAAAAAGCAGCCTTCGGCGAGTTGGGCTAATGTAATGAGCCTTTAAATGCATTGTAAAATTTTCAACAAGCCCGCTAGGTTTTGATAAGTTAGCCGGCTAACGTGTCAATCCTCACTTTAAGTACATAGCTCTACGCCTCTACCAATAAGCCACCGGAGTTTTGATTTCGAATTAGTCCTTTAAATCAGATTCTTATTTGGAAAAATATTTATACTACCTCCGGTATTTAATATAAAGTCTTGTTTGATTTTTATTTTGATCCTAAATATAAGACCCCAATCCACTTTGTTTCTTATGTTTATGTTTTTTTTTTCAAGATAGTCGTTTTAATAATAATAGTTCTAGCCAATACACTTAATTAATGAAGATATTTTAGAAAAGACAACACATATTTATTACAAATAACTAACTTAATTTTTTTTAATCTTCTAAAATTAGTCAACTAACTCTTATAAATAAGACCGAATGTAGTATTTAGTATCTGGTGATCGAACAGGACCTCTAATAGAAGAAGAATATACGTGCCTAGGGAAAAAAAAATCCTGCCGGTAATCATTGTTTGATTATAATAATGGCAAGTTTATTTCTTTTATATATATATATATATATATATATATATATATAATGATCTTGTTTGAAAAGGCATACATTCTCTATATTTTACATCATTCTTTAATTTTAATTCTCACAATTTTCATTATTCAGGTGATGAGCAGTTGAATATTTATCAAGACACTTGAAAAGATGAATGATTATTAAACCAATTGAGATATCATCTATCCTAGAAGCAATGACATGGTTAACAAAAGACTTGTTAGTTATATATTGACCAAAACAAACGAGACTCGTAACCATCGTCTTAGTGGTGATTCCCATTTCAAATTTCAAATTCTCATCATAACAAGTTTTGGATCAACTTATTTTAAATGATTTTATACCATATGAGATAAATATATGAGATGTGTTTTGTTTTGTAAAATGTAAAAACACTTACTTCCCAAACAAGTAATTAAGGGGGTGTTTGGATGGAAACCAAACCATAGTTTCAGAAGTATTTTTACAGTTTATGAAATAAATATATAGAAGAATTTATCTCGTTTTGCGAAAAAATATTTTTAAGAAGCATTTTGAGGGTTGCCAAACACCCTCTAAATTGATGATCTCTAGCTGTGGATTGAACCTCTTCTATAGCAAGGGAAAGCAAACCATGGCCACATCCATACTTAGTTTTGATGCATCCAAACTTTCAATTGCATTTCTGATTTTACCTTCATGCGTTTATGAAGACAAAATGGTTCCTGCGGTTCTTTCTTCACGAGGAAAAGATACTGTAACGAATAAAAGATATTTTTATAGACCGAAAGAAAGTTGTTCGTGTTGAATTTTTTCCTTCCTTCAAATATTCTACTCATAATTAAATCTGCCCCTAATTAAATGTGCTACTGGTTAAATAATTCTTAAGGCTTGCTACATCTTATAACCCAAATGACACTAAATGCTTCTTTTAAGACTTGTATAAGTGTGAGATCGTGTATAAATTATGGCAAAAAAAAACTTTTAGGAGTTAAAAAAATTATTATTAGGAATATATTTAGAAAAAATTATAATACTTCTTGCAATTGTGAAAGGGGCTCTATAAATAGGGATAAGAGCTAAAAAAAACTTAGAACTTCCTCTTATTTCAAATATAAGTCATATAAAAATATTTAATATTCTTTAAAAACTATCAAATATCTTTTTTCAAAAGACCAAAAACAATTTATAGAAAGCCTTCTATAATAGGAAATAGAGGGAGTACTATAGAAAGAAAGGGAGGGAGCATGTTATATTATTGATGTGATACGCACATAACCAAAAAAGAATTAGATGTCAATATATAAATTTAAATACACAACACAGTGTGACAAATGAAACATATTTATACCATTTTTGAGGAAAAGTATATGGTATTTTCCATCAAAAGAAAATGCTGAATTGCATTCTATACATCTTTATTTTTTATATTTTTCTAAATAATTCATGCATCTTATTCTTTTATGCAAAATTAATCATTTGGTTCCTATTTTGACTCGATTGTAACACATCCTCCAAATTTTAATTTGGGGCCAGTCAATTCTTATAATTATGACTTGATTATAACTTAATTCTTAAATTGTGACTCATTACAACTTTGTCTTTTTAGTTTTAACCATTTAAAATTTCATTATATAAACTCCATAAAATATATAATCTTTTTTTACAAAACTTAGGGAATAATTTTTTAAAAAAATTAACTACAAGAACTAAGAACTAAGTTGTATCAAATTAAAATTAAAAAATTGAGTTAAAATTATGATGATTGAGTTGGGTCGAATTAAAATTTAAAAATTAAGTTATAACTAAATCAAAATTATAAAACTAATAAATTAAATTTTGCTTTTTCTATCGAAAAGAAAACCACTTCAAATGCATGCATTGGGTTTTCTCTTCTTTTTTTCCTCCTCCCAGAAAACTAATTTTCTTTTTAACCTTGACCCTAGAGAAGTAAAGAGAAACTTAGATTTCCCCCCAAAAAAACCAAGAAAAAACTTTATTACGAAGAGGACAGATGGATTAATTTCAGTGAGTGATTGAGAGGGACAGTGCGCTCATTACATGTCACTAGTGTACCAGCATATTTAAGACTGTCTCGGCAACCCTTATTACTCCAGAACCTATTTACCTAATTTATAAAAATTAAGAAAAAGCTATATTAGTTTTTTCATAATTAACGAGAAACAATTTTTGATAATTTTCTTGAAATACATCTTTCATTTATTGGACATTAACTTTCATTTATTTAAATTTGAAAAATAATACTCCTCCTATCATAAATATATGACCTCTTTTATAATATAATCTATACTATTAAAATGATCTTATTTGTATTCCTCCGGTCCTCAATATACAAATCAATTGACTAATTTATGTATATTAAATAAGTTTTTTATATTAGTTATTTATAATAAATAAATATTATTTTTTTAAAATATCTTTGTTAATCATATGTATTAATTAAAGCTATCATTTGATGAAATTTTTAACATATACAACTACTACAAGAATTACTTTGAAAAAATAAATATATATGACAAGGAAAATAGATTGAAATCTTATATTTATGATCAAATTAAAAATCAAAGTAACTTTTATACTAAGAATCAGAGGTAGTGCATTAAATAAGGATCTATCTTTAAAACAATACTCTTCTGTTCATATTTATAAGGTAGAAAGAGAAAGTTTTTCTTGGTCTTATTTATAAGTCACTTTATTAAATTTTTAGTATAAATATGTCATTTTATCCTTCGTTTATTATATTGTAGATAGTTATTTGTTGGAAAGGTGTAGATATTTTAAACAGGGATAAAACTGAAAATGTATTATATTTTAATAAAAAATTAATACAATTTATATTGGAAGTACCTTATAAATAGAACCAGAAAAGTATTTAATATCATAAATAAAAACAAATGAATTCTTATGTTAAACACTTTTCTCTACCGACATACTACCTCTAGTCCTAATTATAAGATATTATTTGTACTATACAAATAAGGTCTTATAAATAAGACTAGTAGTATTAATTATTAAGAGCCACGTCAAAAACCATTAATAAATTTTATATTTAAGATCAAGAGGGTATTTGGATGGAATCAAAACCATAGTTTTAAAAGTATTTTTATTATTTACAAAATAAACATGTAGAGGAGTTTATCTCGTTTTCAGATCACCCAAATGCAGCGGAATTTAGCTTTTGCACGTAACTAACCAGGTTCATGGGTATAAACTATGATCCATGATTATCCAATGATGCGTGATGTCGAATGATGTGTGAAATGTGAGAGTAAATGCACCAGGAGAAATATATGACCCTGGTATAATTATAAAATACAACTTCCAATGATTAATATAAAAATTAATTGACTAATTTAAACAGATTTAAAAGTTTATTAAATTAATTATTTATAATAATTAGGTATTGTCTTTCATAGAATATTCTTATTTTTTTATACAAAGAATATTATTACTAATCATATGTATTAGCTAAAATTACTATTTAATAGAACATTTAATATGTGCAACTAATACAAGTACTACTTTTAAAACAAATTTAAATAAATAAAAGTAATAAAATAGATTGGTTTTATATACTTAAAACCAAATTAAATATTAAGAAGGGGTAATAGTAATACATTAGCAGTACTAGCATTACGTGTACACAGACAAATACATACAGAAGTGTAAAAATAGCATATATTCTGTTTTCCATACTTCTCAACATATATGTTAGGTACTAGTATGTGTTTACTTCATTTCATTAAGAAAATGACAGTTAGATGTCTAGATTTTAACCAAACCATGGAACTAGAATCACCCCACTACGTATATTTTACATGAGGTTGAAAAGAAGAAATCCTAAAATTTAGCAAGAACCATTGTAAAACGTTTCTACTTGAAAAATCCACATTCTTTGCCCTAAAAGTCTAAACTAAAAATAAACATTGAAAACATTTAATAAAATGTATTCTAAATAAAAATAAACGTTTGAAAAAAACATGAGAAATAAAAAATTAATAAAGAATATTTGAAACATATAAATGCAAACTAATCAAATAAAATATTTGCCCGTTCAAATAACAAAGATGAGGAGAAGTATATATGGAAACAAGCCAAGAATTCATTAGTTCTCCTAGCTAGATAAAAAAAAATTGGTGAAAAGTCAGGGTTCTTTCATTTCCCCTTGGCCAAAAAACAAAATTCTTTCATTTCGTGGGTGACTACATGAAAGTTCCTCATGAATAAGAAGCTGCGGATTCAATCATGTTTATAATCTCAGCTCTTGTTATGTCTCTAATTAATAGACTAAACTTACAAATAAATCCTATCAATACCCAATGATGACATGTTTGGATTAACTATGAGTGTTTATAAGTATTTTTATATAAGTTAAAACAAAACTCTATTCACATACTTATTTTATATTTTATAAATTATAATTAAAAAATTATTTATAAACTATTTTGAATACGTCTGGAGTGAACCAAAACCACTAGATGATCCGGCCCTTTGCAATTAAGAGACAAGAAGGAGAACAGAACAAAGAAAGAGGACATAGAAAATATTGCCAAAGCCCCAACTCACCAGTCCTCCTCAACCAAAGTTACATAGTACTCAGCAGAACATCAACACCTCTTGCTTTAGTTCCCATCCCGCAAGCCAAAGATAACCAGCCATGGTTCCTCTTCCTTCTTCTTCCTCACTACTTTTTTCCCTTTTATGATCAGTATGAAACAAGTCGCAAACACACAAGAAAGAAAGGGGAAAAACAGAGGAGTTGAAACAGAGGAAATAGGATGATATCAAACCAACGTGCTGCGCAAAATGAAGCTGCTTGTGAGATAAATGAAGAAACTTATGCTTCAATCTTCCCGAGAAGTTATTGAAATATAGAGAAACACGTGAATCCAGAGAAATATACGTTTCAGTAGAGAAAACGGGACTTTCAAAGTTTCAATACAGCAACATGAAAAAGAAAGCAGAGCAGTCAAAATGGGGGAAAATTACAGGAAGAAGAAGAGCACCAAAGTTACAGTGTGAACATTTAAACGAAGATCAAATCAACACACTAAACTAAGAAATAAAGAAAATAACTACGTTGTACGTTGGATGAATACATAGCTATGTTTCATCTCTCCCATATGTTATTGTAAGGTGAATCGGAAGCAGCCATTCTTTTCTGTAAATTCAGGTCTTTGTAGAACCTGTTGATGAATTCTTCAGCTGCCTTGTCGACTTGTCCATCTCCATCCTCGTCGTCGTCTTTCAGGGGGAAAGGCGAATCGGTGATTCTGAGTTGCCTCCCGGCAGGGCTCTGGCCGAACCCAGGCAAAGTCGCAGACGGCGAATTCTCCACCTCGAGGTTATCGACAAGAACCTTCCGGAAGGCATTGAATGTGGAAACGTCGTCGTGGTTGCAGGGCTTGTGCTTGCGTTTTTTGTTTGCCATGGCGCGAAAGGGGAGGGCGGGGCTGTTGTTGCAGCTGAACTCGTAGTCGCTGGGAGAGATAAAGGAGAGGTAAGAGTCGTGTGATCGGCAGGTTAATGATGCGTAATGGTGGTGGAGTTTGATGCTGCCAGCGATGGCCTTGCCGACGGCGATCTTCCCCCGTTTCACCAATAAACTGAGATTGATCTTTATTTTCCTCTTGCCTATTCCCTTTTTCAACATGAACACCACTACACGTACAATGTTCCACAGCTTGCTTGCCGCCGCCGCCACCGGCGTCGCCGCATTGTCCGCCATTTCCATTCTGTTACAGTGCGAGTGTGAGTGTTTGCTGAGACTTGGGAGAGGGACAGAGAGAGGGAGAGAAGGTGTTTCTACAAGTTGTGTGGGATGATGAGAGGGAAGTACGGGTATTTAAAGGGGTCCACATCCAAGAGTGGGCCCGGAATGATTAAATTAACCTTTTTTTTTCCTATAACAATGATTAAATTAACCTTCTTAACGTAAAATCTAGTTAATTAATTTAGATAGATTAAAAAATTAATTAAATTATTTATTTGTAATAGGTAAGTATTATTTTTTTAAAATATTGTTATTAATTATGTGTATTAACTAAAATTGTCATTTAGTTAAATATTTAATATGTGTAATTACTATAAAAACTACTTAAAAATAGATAAATATGAAAAATAAATTAGATTGAGGTATTATATTTAAAATCAAATTAAAATTCAAACTAACTGTTATATTAAGAACCGAATGTAATAATTGACATAAAAAATTAACTAGTAGTTGACATAAAAAAATTAGCTACTAATTAATTAAATCAAGAAAGCTGAGTAGAATTCAATGGGAACGTTTCTTTTTCTTTTTATATTTAAATAGTAAGAAAATAAGGATGGAAATTTTGAAATAACGGGGGAAACTTGTACTGGAAGAGCTTTTAATTTGGCAATTTTAAATTTGACTTATCGTACGCATATCATTTGTCTACCAATATACCATTATGTTCCTATTTATAAGTTAAGGACTACCCAAAAGTATAGATATTCATACACATTATGGAATAATTTTTAAAACAAATTATATAAAATGTCATAAATAGATTAAGAATGAAGAGCAGAATCCTGCCTTCGATTGTTGTACGAACGTGTACAAATATTGTGGAAGGTATATAGTTGGAAATAAAATATATTGATGACGCGCTAGAAAGCCCTAATGATTTGGGAATTAAATCGTTGGTTTGCTGTCGCTTTTCTTCGAAGTTGGATTGAAAGTTACTGGAAAGTTTGTGTGATGAGAAATGATTTTCAATAATTGGATTTGAATATGATATTATAAGTTGAATCTTGCTCTCTTCCCCCATGTACCAATACATGATATGCAACAGAGTTGTATAATACTTTATATTTTTTTTAAGGAAAATTTAATTTTAGATTATATAGATTATATAATTCGTGAGTTTTTTTGGGCCAGATATAATATGAGTTTAAAATGGGATATATGAATTATATAGGGTTAATATCATTTTTAGTTCATAAAATTTGATATTGTTTTAATTTTAGTTCATCAAATTTGGAACTAGTGATTTTGGTATCAAAATGTGACCACATTTTGGTTTTGATATGAAAAATTTCACCTCATTTTGGTGTGCCTAAAATTTTTTTGTTTCTATAACTGTGTTTTTATCCCTCAAACAGTGGCTAAAATCAAAATGATATTAAATTTCAGAATTAAAATCAATAAATTTTATTATAAAACGAGGTTGTAAATTTTGGCCTCGTCTCAGTTATATATACTCCAAAAATTTTATGAAAAATGATTTTGTAAAAAAGAAAATACCAATTAATTTGTGAGTTAATGTTAAGGTTAAGTTGAAAGAGAATAAATGGCCTTAGATGTTCCAAATTAATGAATCTTTGCCATGTATTGTGTGGGCTATGTTGCTTGACGTGATTTAGCAAAAAACCATAATCTTAAGATATGTTTGGTTTGGCAAGCAAGCTTTAATTGCTGGCGCCATGTAATTTAGTGCGCCATTGGCTTTGACAAGGACACCATCGTGTCTAAACACTACTAATCGATCATCACATATCGATGAGGCTTTGAGTTTAGATACGACATGTTCCTGTGTTTGTATAAATGTTTAAATTAATTGTGGTTTTGAAAAAAAAAATTGATTTTATAATGTCAATTGGATTTTAAGACCTTAGATTTTATAATGTCAATTGGATTTTAACTAGAGGGCAAGCATTAATGACTTGATATACAGGCTCATCCAACTTGCGATTTCTTATTTACAAAAGAGCTTTCATATCATAAACTATTGGTTCAATTAAAAAATATTATCTCTGGTTTTTAATATAAGAGTTAATTGACTAATTTGAATTAATTAAAAAAATTTACTAAGTTATTTGTAATAAATATGTATCTTTCGCCAAAATATCATTATTAATCATATGTATTAACTAGAACTATTACTTTATAGAACTTTTAGCATGTGCAGCTACTACAATAACTATTTTAGAAAAAATGGCTACATATCATAAATAAAGTGGATTGAGATCTTATAATTAATATCAAATTGAATGTCAAACTAATTCTTGTTCAAAGAAGAAAGATATACATTGAGGCTATTTAGTGAGATCTCAAATTTAACTTTAGAAGAATGTTATGGATCATCGTAAAAACAAAAAAAAAAGGCATGTACCTTAGTTAGAAATAAAGTGATTTTAAAAGAGAAGAATCAAAAGATAAAAAACAAATGCTAATTCAATTATAAGTAAAAAGAAGCTTAATGATAAATTATCGAAAACATTATTTTAAATGTATTAAGGTGCCAGATATTAGTAACAATTTTAGCCATGAGTCTGAAAATGAAAAATTTAGCACTAAATTTTATTATGTGCAACTGATCTTATGATTATTATAAATGAACGTTTAACTTTTACTGAACATAGTAATGTTCTTTATTTGAAACATTGAAATCATGCCCATGACTTTGTGTGTGCATGTTTGTGTTTTTTTCTTTTGCCTAAAATGAGTAAACAACCTTAGTCCTTAAATGTCAATTTTAAATTTTGAGGATCCTTTGTTTTTGTTCCTTTGAAATGATTACAAAGTGTTATTTTTCATGGTTTGACATTTTTCCCGGGGGGATGTGGTTGAACTTGTTTTATGATCAGACAAAAAAAATACTTTTAGTGACTTAATTTTAAATAATACTATATTTTGATCTCCTAGTTTTATATGGTATTTTTCTAGTCCTCTAATTATAATCATGCTAATTTTTATTAAAAAAATAATGAAATTAAAATATTTAAAAATAATAACTATTGGAACAAAAATACAATCATTTAGGACTAATCATTAAGGCCCTTGATTGTAGGGTTTGCTTACTCCTCCGGCGTGTGTCTTTCAATCTATCTTTCTTTATACGATTTGAAAGTGGAGCAAAATTTCCTAAGAACATGTGTTGACCAAGTCGTGCGTTTCCTTAACCTCTTCCTCTTGCTCATAATATGCTTTCTTAAATTAATTAATCAATTAATTATCTTAATACTCCATCATAGTCCCTTAAATTATTAGACATTAACAAATGTTTACACATTACATTTAATTTTTTACAATACCAATATTGGGTATTAACACTAAGTCTAATATTTTTTTTTTTTACTAGAGACACTAAGTCTAATATATAAGAGTTAGTTGAGGAATTTGATGTTAAATATAAGATCTTAATTCATTTTGTATCTCATCTTTCTTAAATGTAAGGGTTTTCCATCAAGGAATAATTCTAATAATCTAATACACATGATTAAAGATAACGGTTTAGGAAGATCAATACACATTTATGATAAATAATCAACTTAACTAATTTTTTAATATTTTTAAATTAATTATCTAGTTTTAAGGAGTAGAAATAATATTAAGAAAAAACTCTGACACATTATATTAAGAATGTGGTCCCATCACCAAGCATTTCTCCTGAAATTCCAGTGACAAATATAAAATATGTCACGAAGTTGTTTGCAAGTTTCATAACTTAAATTAATAATAGTTTTTTTTTTTTTATGGAGTGTGGAAATTAAATCAACGTTGACGCCGTTCTTTTGTGACATTTTGTACAATTGTGCGAGAGAAGAAAGTTAATTAAATGGAGGGGCGGCGAAGACTTTCTTTGTCTTCACATGCCACGACGACGACTTCGGAAACTCTTCCGGACACTACCAATATGCAATCACTTGGCACTGTTGGAGTTAAAGTGTATGTGCGGATGTGTCAAAATGAACACCTGTTCAAAAGAATGGAAATACAAGGGTATAAATATTACTATTCTGATTCTAAATATAAGATATATTTTATAATATAATTTACACTACAAAATAGGTCTTACATTTAGGAACTGAAGAGTAACTTGTATTCATTAATTAGTGAATGGGCCTAGAAAAAGTGAAGGATCTTGTGTCTAGGGATAAGGAAAACCGAACCGAACAAAATTCAGTTATTTCGGTTTTTATTTTTTTGGGTTATTTTATTCAGCTATTTCGGTTATTGGTGTTCGGTTCGGTGTTATAAAAAATAATTCGGTTAGTACCGAAATAACCGAAATATTTGAATGAACCTTTTTTTGAAAAAATATTTCTCTCCTGCCTCCCGGTCTCCCCACGGTCCACCCAGTTAACCATTCTTATTATTTTGTATTAACTGATGGACTCCATCTGTCCAGTGTCCATCACATGGGATCCACTTCCATAGGCCTAGAGTTCAGCTCTCCACCTCAATAATTCACACCCTCACAGGTCACAGACTTGTAGCTGCACACTTGCACATCATCAGCATCTTAGACTCTCAAAAACTCCCATTTGGCCATTTTTGAACTCTCAAGTAGTCAAGCCCCAAGACTCACAGGTCGGTTGTCGGCGGTTGTGGATTGCACAGCTTAAATCTCAATGACTCCCTTCATCCTCGCAAGCTCCGATCTACGCTCAGCTTAGCCGTCGCCACCGGTCTTCATATAGTAGGAGCATTACAATGGCGGCCTCCGATCCCTCTCCCTTTGGCCTTCTCCTTCCTTCGCGATCACTTATTGCATTCCAGATTCTAGTTACAGCCCCTAGATTTCTCACCTCTAACTTTCATTATGGTGAGGTGAGATTCAAGTTATAGAAATTTTTTCAACCATATTGTCTTTTTTTTCAACTAATTTTTTTTAAATATTTTTAAATCTAGTTCTTATGTTAAGGAGTAGAGATAGTATTAAGAAAAAGCTTTGATGAATATTATATTGAAAATGT